GAGGCGGAGGGAATACATAAATCGTCCCATGAAAAATGGCCCCTGAAATCAGAAAATGCTCAGATGAAAAATTACCCAAAATTATTCGGCAAAACCGGCTTTTCACATCGATTCTGGAGATTGATAGGCCGTTTGTTATGAATTCAATATGCGGGATGAAATACAAGCCGCGTAAAAAAGCACAGAATTTTCCGGAAAAATTATCAGAAGGATTGTTAGGTGAAGGGGTTCTCTTTCGGTGCCAGAGCAGAAAGTTTTCCTATTCGGCGGTAGCCGTTACGGACGCGGTCTTTTTCAGTGGGCGATTAACGACATGTCGTTGTGTCGATAACGACCCATAAAATGATCCATTCAAACAGAATGGCCACCAAAGGAAACGCGATCGGACGGAAGCGCTAGACCAACGAAGTATTACTTCAAGTTACTTCTAGCGACAGATGTGACACAGTGGCTGCAGGCGCCATATATTCACTGGCTGGTGGATCGAATCTCACCAAATTAAACATTCCTTTCATGAGTAGCTTAGCTGGAGGAGAACGTACAGACCTGACCTGAAAATCCTTTGGTCATTGAGGACGATCGTTTGGTGACATCGTACGAAGTGTCAAAGTGGTGGGTTATTGCGTCCGAAATTAAGGTAGGCTTGGTAATTGGTCGGCTATTAGCGAGGAGATCATGGTGTGCTGACAGTTTTCGAAAAAGCACACCATAAGTTAGGCTTATGGGTGGAGTGCGATGCACCAGTGTCCACTCTCATTGGACGGTTTTCCTTGACCTATTCTTAAGTAAATGAGCCTGGACACATTCAAGTGATTGGGCGGTTGTTCAAACCAGAGTCTTGTACATGGCTATCTCGAGAATGTGGCTTCTTCAGATAAATGTCCCTTTCTATTATTTGATCGCTTGCGACATTTTTCCGTGCTTGTAAAAACAAAATGCATATAGTACTAAGCGATGACCGTAAGAGACGGCAAACCGCCCCTCTGAGATGCGAAGGAGAGTTTCAGAGGCTTAGGCAGCAGATTCTTCTGTATGCAAGGGATTTGAAATGGAACTTGTTTGGGTGTTTCCTTCTGCGTTCCTCCCTGTAGCTGGTTTTGCGTCCAAAAAAATGAAATTCAAGTTTTTTTTCCGGCTCCCCTTCCTTTTGGTTTTCTTTTAGAAAGCGAAATGTGTCCGCACTTGTTTCGCCTATACCGGCCAGGATTTGTTAATCCTGTAGTTTTCTTCATCGTCGAGTTTCCAGTGTGTAGAATGGAGCCATTGATCGTTCATTCGTTGAGACAATTGGAAAATTACCACCTCCTCGCCTTTCCGTGCACTCGCTCGCCGACCCAATTACCGGCTATGGTTCGCCTGTTCTTTTGTCCATCTCGCAGCTGTTCATGACGCTCTGAAGTTCATCGCCGTCTGGAATCTGCTGAATAAGGTTCTGGCAGTGCGCTCTGCTGGGATCTCGCGATTTGTCTAAAACGTACGGCTACTGATGAGGACAAGAGATCTCGTATAACTTCGTATAATGTTTTCACACACACAATTTATTAGAGGCAAATAATGGTTTGAAATTAAATTTGGCGGCGCTATCGCAATGTACGGGGGCATCTTCTAGGACTAAATCTACAAGGGGGTCAGAAACTCCGGGAAAAATCAGAATGGTTCATGCTACTTTGGAGTTTCTCCACCGCCTAAGACGCTTTGTACCGTAGTTTTGACTGAAAAGACATTTTTACGCGTTTTAAATGCGATGACATCATAATGCCCCCGCATACTGCGATAGCACCAATTTAGCAAATCGAGATAACTGAAGCAGTGTTCTCAACGTTTCTCATCCTCTTCCAACTAGCGGAAATTGACTTGAGTGCCTTTCCCCATAAGGAATTGTGTGAATTCACGAGTTTCCAAATCATAGCAGAGAAACTCCTGGTCTATCAGACGGCTGGTGCGAATAATCTGGAGTTGCGTCGCAATTCGCCGAGGCTCTTTCGTCAAGTTCAGTGGCACGGTTTTGCTAAGTGGCACTTACGGTAGCCCGTCATAAGTGGCGTGGAACTCATTGAGCTGAGAGGAGGTTTAAGGAGTTCTCTAGCACAAAAAGTCAAAAAATACTAGTCAACGAAAGATCTTTCTGAGGTATGAAGGCGGAATGGTTCCAAAAGGGGGAAGAGTCGAAAAAGCAGTAGTGTTACTCATTGGGTAAACACAATTGTACAGCGGAATATGGACCCAAGTGAATCTGAACCACATTTCAACGTAAAGTGGAGCCTTGGAGATAACGCGTAAAGCAAGCCACCGCGTATCGAGCGTTTTCTAGAGGCAGTTCAATCCATGAAAGTGGATTGGGCTTGAAAAATCATGGGAAACCATGTTGTCAGCCATTTGTGTGAACTTTATACACGGTTGACTGGCCGCGGCTATTCCCTCTTCGTAGTTAGTGGGACTGCATAATGGGTTCTGTATGTTCACAAATTCATAAGCGTCACCTGATAACAGCTTTTCACTGAATGTCCGCGCAATCATCTATGGATATATTTTTGGGGCGGAAGCAGAGGAGCTCCTGAAAAATGGTGAAAAATGCTACTCTGCGCCCATATGCCTAGGTACGATTGATGGCCGATCCTTCACGACCAATCGAGCCAATCATGAGTTCTGCTGACATTTCAGAGGATATCTCGAGCTCGGCGCGTACCAGGGCAATTCGTCGGCGTTACACTTTTCTTGTCATTTTCTGTCCCTCATTCTCGGCTGTTTCTGTGCGAATGAGCTAAAAAGAGCAAAAATAACCTAGTGTGAAGTATTCAACGTGATAGGGTACTCAATGGAAAGCAGAATCATCTCATTACCACAGAAGGCTATTTTTGCTCTTTCCAGTTCATTTCTCTTCCTCTCATTCTTCGACTAGGCTAGAATGACATAGTTTTAGCGCTACAAATTTAATCCCAACGTCCCCATACGTGCTAATAGCTTTTAAAGCGTAAGGTCTACCGGCTGTTCCAACGAACTCCGTTCCCCATGTGGGATAGCACAATGGCTGAAGGGGTTGTAAATTGTCACCTCTCTACTCGATCGCTTACAATTCATTACAGACGACCCCTCACGCCAGCTGGTTCTTGAGTCCGAATTTTTCGCATAAAAACAATTGCTTTAAATATCAACCTAATGAATGAGTCATTGGTTGCACTACCAAGCGCCTCTACGATCTGAGAGGATGCTCGAGTTCGCGGCCACTCAAAAAAATTGTGTGATTGCCAAGACGTTTATCAACCTTCCCTTTCCATTTGTCAACTACTTATCGTACAGTTCATAGAGACACGAAGGAACTATTGGGGGTTCTCCGGCAGCAGATTCCTTCTTTATTCTAAAGGTATTTATACCTTCCCTTCTTTAGGAACATCTCTTTACAGCACTCGACCATGCACATTCAAAGATCAAGAAGAGCACTCGATCTTATTTATACCTTGAAGCAATAACCCCTAATCTAATTGGTGAGGTAAAAGCGATCTGCAATAAAGCTGTGGATGCCGAACAGATTGAGAATGAAAGAAAAACCAAAGCAAACTACCGCTGTAGCCATCAACGAAATCCTCTTGCTTTCTCCATGAAATCGGTAAGAGGCGGGGCTGGACGAGTTTTCTGAATGCTTGTTGCACGGTCCCGCTAGCGCTCGCGTATTTGAAATAGCCGCTACGTAGTAATCACGTTGCGTGTCATGAGATGTGCACGAGGTATCTCGTCCGTAAGTTGACATTGTTGCCATCAGATCAATTTGTAAGGCCCTAGCGCCATTGTTGCGCACTTTCAAGTCGCTACTACGGCCCCTCTGAGATAGTCGGCGAGTAATCTATCTCACCCTCAGGACTCACCAGGTTTTTCGACACGCTCTCATCTGGGGTTGTCGCTTCAAGTCTCACCTTCAAACCCAATGCTTCATTTTTGTAAATAAAGTGGGACAGCAGGGCGGAAGTGGTGTAGTGGCAAGTGGCACGCTTACCACGCGAGCGGTCCGGGGATCAAATCCTGGGTCGTGAGTCGCCCGGGCCAACCAAGCCTTCCATCCCTCCGGGGTCGGTTAATTGGCCGCATCCCACAAAAGTTATTGATCAAGTAAATGCTTTATCTTTTATTTATGCTTTAGTGGGGCAGCATCACTCTGTCAATTATCATTCTTGATCCCTCATTGCCTTCCGCTACTGCTAACATTGATCGCTATTTATTGCTACCACGGCTTATCGTCTTCGAGACTGATTCGATCTTGATCAAGGACTACTATTCTTGTGAAGCAAAAAAAACATATATTTACCCCTCGAATCCATGGATGTCGTAAACAGTCGTCGACAGTGGCTCTTCAAGTGAACGTCTCGTACAAACAATCGTGAAATGAAATCTTTCGCATAGGTGGAAGTGTTCTTGAAATACCTGCAACATCAGTGAACTTTTCGCTTTATTGCTATTTTCGCCTCAGCAGTGGCAGAGGTGAAAAAATAACTTTGCGCTTGATCCGGGGATCAAGTCCTTGCTCGAACCCCGCTCAGATATAGAGCATTCTATCACCCAGGTCGATTGATGAATGGCTGATTGGTCTACATTGTCCGAGAAGATAAAAAGCCTTGATTTTTCTTCATGGCCAATCCCTCCCCTCTACCCCCCCCCCACCACCCCCCCCCACCGCCTCCCAAATTCAAATTCATGGTGCAGTATAAATGCTCATCATAATGTCAATGGACGATTCTGGGTGGATTGTGAATGCATGGTGTATCACCAACCGCGACTGAACCGTAACCAGTGCTCCGGCTCTTTGGCCTACTTTCATTCAGTTATTTATTTATTGGCGACGTTAGTTGTCCTTCAGTTGGGTTGGATTATTTCCCTGTTCCTACACTGACAACTCTAGCCCTGTCCCATAAATGGCCCATGATATTATTGAACCTTTGGCACTTGTCCAATCTTGGATTATTCTATTAATGATAGAATTTGGATTTTTGTCTAAGAATAGTAAAAAACACTTACCTATCAGTGAAGTGGTAATTCACCCCAGTAATGTTGCAGAAGGTCTCGTCCCGCGTGTCGCCCAAGAACGGACTTCCACCCGACAGCCTAAAAACACAAAAGGAAATCCCCTCATGAACGTTGAGAGGGAAAGCTTTCAGTGACGTACAGGATGTAGGTGACAACTCCCAGCGCCCACATGTCTGTCGCCGGACTCAGAGCCTCATAATTGACCACTTCGGGCGCTGAAACCACAACTTCCATTAGTGAATAAACGACACACACACAAGCTGGCTACTCACATCGTATCGATTTTATTGATTGACTTGATTCTATAGTATAGCTAAGGGAAAAAAGTGAAAAATGACAGATTTCGTGGACGAACTTACCAACAAATTCGGGGGTGCCAACCATATCCTTGACGGTGTGACCGGGTGGAATCAACCGCGAAAGGCCAAAGTCAATCAGTTTCACTTGGGCATCACCGCGTTGCTTCAACATCACATTCTCGGGCTGAAAAGTCTATGAAAAATGCTCAAATGATGTAAAAAAACGTCTACAGTTTTTTGAAGGTTATTTAGTAGTGGTATAAAAATCCATCGATTGCCCACAGAGGAGGAAGCTGTATAAAGAAGACTTAAGGACACGTGAATCCAATAGTAAACTATCAAAAACACATGAATCCAATTAGTATAACTCACCACAAATTAGTTTGCCATATCAGGAGCAATCAGACGAGATAATAGGAAAATGTCGAGTGCACGGAACATTCCAAAAAAATGATCGGCTGCCATTATGCATGGCTTATGCATACCTCTTCACACTGCTACTCTATTCCCTTTTCCTTATTGATTAATGGTTTCAACAACAACGTCCCTTTCGTGAGACAGATTGATGCCGTTCTATTGACTTGCGCCACGCACTCGGCTCCCCACTCACAAAAAAACAATGAATTGCCCCCACAAAGCGCGACTAGTGAACTCACTTTCTGGCAGCGCCATCGGCTCCATTCTTTCATCTCACTTGACCAGTTGCTACTATCGTTTATGAAGGTCTTGAATAGGCCTCAGGTATATCTCGATTCTCGTCCAAAAGCTTTTTTTTTTTTTTTAAAATGTTTTTATACACTATCAATATATGGGATTGATGCGGTCATGTATAACGGCGCAGTTACCCACATCATGCTTATTCCATTTTATCCACAGAGATAGCGCGAACTGCATATGGGCCGGGACCGGGCCCTAGCTTGTTTCAGACGGGACTGTGTAAAGACTTGTTTGCAGGTAAAAGCGTCATTTTCGAAATCACTACGGATATAACCATGGGGCAATGGAAGCAAGGAATACACTGGCAAAGAGTGGAGCAAGCTGCTCACGGGCGGCCTGCCGGTTGCATTAATTGGGTTTTTGGCTAGGAGCAGGAAGCCATCACAGTGTGTTCACAGTTTTACCGAATAACATGTCCTATAGGGCCGTACACTCTTCCTATTCTACTGGCACTTGTCTCCTACCCTCAGTCATCCGTATGATCCGTGGG